ACACATCGCTTTATTACCCTGCCGCTTACTTGGTTTCCTGGTCCGAAAAGCCCTAAAGAAAGGGTTTCTTGAACTTCATGTCTTTCCTTGAACTTCAGCTGAATATCTGGCATGTAGTAAGCTGGGGAGGCTGCCAGCTATCATTCAAATGATTCTACTGTGAAAGACAAGACATACACACCATTCAGCTGCATCAGTAGTAAAAACACAAAGCCCCAGCCTTTCCTACGAAAGTTTCTCCAAAATTGCTCCTCCCTGTAATTATTTTTGGCAAACATTATTTCTGGCAAATTGAAAGAGAATGCTCAAAATTTCATAGGGGAAAATTTCAGCACAGTACCAATATTTTTGCCTGGCAGAATGCAGTGGGATAGTTTTGAGCTTGTGGCTTAGTCTTCATTTTGAGGTTTGTCTCCAACTCTTTTATTTCAAGGATTGCTAAGGAAACACAATCATAGGTATGATAATCAAATTAGTTTTCTCACAGTTATTGGCTCGGCGGGGGAATATTAGAATCACAGAATAATGAAGTTGGACCGGGCCTTTAAGGCCATGGAGTCCAACCCTCTGCTCAATGCAGGAATACAAATCAAAAGATTGACTAAGTTTTTCTTGAATGGCTCCAGTGTTGGAGCACTCACCACTTCTTGAGGTCATGGGTTCCACTGTCATAATGCTCCAACAGTTACAAAGTTTTTCCTGATATTCAACTGAAATCTGGCTTCCTGTAACTTGAGTCCATTGTTGCATGACCTGATCAAGAACAGATCCTGCCCCTCTTCAGTATGATAGCCTTTCAAGTACAGTGGGGTCTCTACTTAAGAACGTCCCTACTTAAGAACAATTCCACTTAAGAACAGCTCCATTTGCTAAATTTTGCTTCTACTTGAGAACAAAAATCCAGATAAGAATAGGAAAAAAAAACTTTCCTGCTCTTTTTTTAACCTTAGGTCATCTTAGGTTAAAAAAAGTTCTCCCCCTAGTGGTAGAGTACGTATTAACCAGCTTTGCATTAGTTCCTATGGGAACTAATGCTTCAATGTACGAACGCACCTCTATATAAAAAAAAAACAGCCAGAACGGATTAATTGGTTTTCAGTCCATTGCTTCAAAATTAGCTTCGTCAGAAGTGCTTTTAACACTGTTCGCTGACCTAAGGGGAAAAAAAGAAAAAAAATCCCCCTCTAGTGGTAGAAGGCGGAATAGCAGCTTCCCATTAGTTTCTATGGACGGAAAAGAGCAGATACGGATTAAATGGTTTTCAATGCATTCCTATGGGAAATGCAGATTCAACATAAGAACTTTTCCACTTGAGAACCACCTTCCAATACGGATTAAGTTCTTAAGTAGAGACCCCACTGTATTTGAAAAGTGCTATCATATCACCCGCTGTCTTTTTTTCTCTCAAGGCTAAACATGCCCAGTTCTTTCAGTCGTTTCTCATAGAACTTGGTTTCCAGACCCCTGATCATCTTTGCTGCCCTCCTCTGAACTTGTTCCAATTTGTCAGCATCCTTCTTAAAGCGTGGCATCCAGAATTCAGCCCAACCAGTGCTGAATAGAGGGAAACTAGTACCTCACAGGATTTGAAGAATATACTTCTGTGAGTGCATCCTAAAATAGCATTTGTCTTTTTTTGTAGCCACCCCACACTGTTATCTCATATTCAGCTTCTTATCTACGATTCCAAGTTCCTTCTTGCTTGTACTATTGCTGAGCCAGGTATCCCCCATCTTGTAACTGTTCGGTTTCTTTTTTCTCGGTGCAGTACTTTGTGCTTATCCCTGTTAAATTTCATTCTGTTGTTTTCAGCCCAGTGCTCAAGTCTATTCAGATCATTTTGAATATTGTTTCTCTCTTCCAGGGTATTAGCTATTCCACCTAATTTTGCGTCATCTGCAAATTTGATTAGCATTCCCTGCACTCTCCGATCCAGGTCATTA